AGTAATAGCGGGGAAATCATCCAATGGGGATACTAGTTCTGGTGACCTGGGGGTCCCCAAGAAATTCCATTAATTTGCAGGGATTTCCTCTCACTTCCTGTTTGGCTATGGGACAGGAAGTGAAGGGAAATCTCTGCAATAGGACACAGATGGTGAAAAAAATGTTGACAGGGGTTGTAACCCTCCCTTGCTCTATCCAAAATGAAAAGAAAAGTTCTACCTATAGTTCTACACTCTGTGTGCCTAACGTGTAATGTGTGCTGCTTTTACTAAGATTTGGGTTGTTTTTGTTTTTTTTTCCTCTCTGCTTTTCAGGAGGGAGAAATAAAGCCAGATTGTGGTCTGTGTACAGAGTCCTGTGTGTTTGCAAACTCTGTGGTTGGCTACAGCCAATCAGCTGGTGTACAGCAAATGCATTGGCTATAACTGGGTGACCGACTTGTGCTGTAGCGAATCACAGCACAGATCAGCAGGAGGTGCGTACGCACCCCGAACCCGGACACATGCTTGCAGCGTACATGTAAATGGTGCCTGCACTTGCAGTAGATTTACTGTGAGTGGGTTGGCAAGTGGGTCCTGTACTGTACTCCATGAAACAGATTTCTCTAGTAAGGCCAAAATACTAATAATCTTGATCCCTGTACCCTTAGACTTAACAAACAATGTTTTTTTTTTTTTTTTCCTTTCCTTGTGCCCGAATTTGGGCTTTAAAGCCTAACTCCAGCTAACCCTTTCAAGCGGTTACAGCCATAGTGACAATGCTTGTTCAATGCACAGTGTGCAGACACTTTCTGCTGTAGTTACCACAGGAAAAGTGTGACATTCAGCCACTGCTGGAACTTTAATTTCACAGTAAGGATGAGCAAAGCATGGAGAAAAAATCATGAACAAAATTATGGGGATGTGGAAAACTGCTTAGCTCTATTTTAAATTAAAGAAATTGTTTCCTTGCCTATGCAAGGAAAGTGACTGTGTGTCTGCAACATTGATGTGTGGGCGATATATTTACTCTGTATATATAAAAATGTGTGCATGCTTGGATATCCTGGAACATACCGCCCTTCAGTTATTACAGAATATTGGACTGCTGTATAAAGTATCAGGCTGGTTTTGCATCTCTGTGAATGAGTGGAAGTGTTCATCCTTGTTTAATATGTGATTTGCTCACAAAAGTCTCTTGACTGAACCCATCTGTCATTTGTAAAACAAAATAGCAACGTAAGACGAGCATACGTTGGACGCTTGTGCATTTAATCGTTCTTGGATTTTTACAAATTGAATCATTTCGTTTATACTTAATTTTACATTGAAAACATATACAAATATATGTTTATGGCCCTAATATTTATCTAGTTGCACAAATGTAGGTTACCACAGAGACCAAGAGTTTGAAATTCACCCACACTGCTCCCTCATGACATTACAGATAGGTAGCCATAGTTACTCAACGCAGCTCTGCTGCTTTGTTGTAAAGATTTGCTGCATCTATGAGTAATACCTGGCATGTGATGCTTCGTGATTAACAGCTTTTGTTATTAAATTAGTGTTGGCAGAGAAGTTGCATTCAACTCTTTTGTAAGTGGATGCATTTGAAGGTTTTTTTTTTTTTTTTGTTTTTTTTATATTTTTGTCTTCGTTCAACAAAGAAGGTACATCTTTAGACACAATTTCTTTTTTGTTTTGCACCAGAAAAGATGTTTCTAAAAATCAAATAACAATTTAGATTGTGTTTTGAAACAGAATGGCTACTAATAGTGCAATACTAAACTTGCAGTTAAATATTTTGAGTGCATAATTCAAATACAGAAGATTTTAGTATGCGGTGATCAAAAGTGCATGGGCGCCTGACCATCGCATCTGTATGAGCTTGTTGGAAATCCCATTCCAAAACCATTCATAATAAATCAGTTGCCTACCTCTACACTTTGTAGCTCTAAAGAAACTTTTCTGGGAAGGCTTTCACAAGATTTTGGAGTGTATCCTTGTTTGTGTGCCCATTTAGCCCAAGGCCCCATACACACTATGGCATTTTGAATTGCAGGCAGAATCATCGTGATTTCAAAACGCTTTGCTAAAATAACATCACACAACAGACTGTTCAGGTGCCATTCATTTAATGACACCTAAAAACAGTGTGTTTCTGCTGCGATTATCCCGCTAATATTATGAAGCGTGCCACCCAAAAAAAGTTCAGGAGCATCTTTTGAGCAACACGCTTTGTGGTTTGCCACTATTGCAACAATTGCAAGACCGCACTGCATTTTTAGGTGTCATTAATCTAAATGGCACTGGAACATGCTGTTGTGCAGTTGTTTATTTTAGCGAAGCGTGAAATCACGGGCATAATTGCGGCAATTCTGCCTATGATTTGAAATTGCATGATGTGAATGGAGCATAAAGAGCATTTTATGGTCAGATACATTTGAATGATATTTGGCTTGCTAATGTTCTAAACCATTCCATGAATTATGGTGCAAGCTATGTGTTTGCAGAGTTTTCTGATATTATACGTGTCAAAATATTTTGTTCTCAGATTGCCTGCAAATGATTGGGCTACTGCTATACAAGGGAAACATTGCAATCTAAAATGGAGGGAAACCCAACATTTCAGATTCCTGATATGTGCCTGCTGTACCATGTACTTGTATGAAAAAGTATCCTGTTCTTTGTATTTCTTCCTTTGTGTGAAATGCCTGGTGTTCCTACTAGTCCCTCTACTTTTCTATTAAAAACTGACCACACTAGGCAGGAGAGAACGGTGTCCGTTATCTAGCTGTGCTGGGAACTCCGTATGCTTTCTTCCAATGATCAGACTTGTGCTGACACACTCCCTGCACAGCCATTTACTGGGAAAGCCAGTGTGCTGCTGTTTCTCCACCCTCACATCTCTATGCAGCTGAGAACAGAGGGTATGTGCTCACTTTTAAAAAAAAAAAAAAGGGGGTGGAGAAAAGTTATTTATAATCTTTTTTTTATATGTCTACGCAAAGGTTTTTAACTTTCATTTCTATTTTAAACTGTTAGGATCATTTTACAAGATGAGGGTTTATATATACTTTCAATTTGTGCATGTTTAAAAGGGTGAGATCAGTCTGCTTAAAACTGATTTTTAATTGGTTATTAACTGTGTCCATGCTATGGGAAAAAAAAAAAGCTACCTCAGCTGAATAAGTTTGCTTTTTTGTTTACTCATTTTGATAGGTTTGAAAGAAAATGTTCCTCCAAAGCTCAAAGAAGATTCTCTCCCTCGCAAAAAGACAAGGAGGAAATTAATGGAGTCTCCTCAGGCAGCAGCACAATTTACCACTAGCACTCAACATGAAGATTCTATCAGCATGGAGCTCATGCCTATTGTTTACACCCCAGAAAGTTGCAATAAAACCATAGTTATCACAGAGGATATCAATAAAATCTCTGGCGCTGGATTGTCTCAGCAAAGTGCTCCCCACCTTCATGGCTCATGACAAAGGCAGCCAAAGCAGAGGTTTCACCTTTCAGATGAAGATGGCTTCTGAACAAGACATGGACTCCACAGTCATTCTTTCTCATGGCAACACTGACCTGAATCCAGATGCCAGTGGCACAGGTTTACATCAACCTTATAGCATGCTACAAAGGTATTAAATTAGACCCGGGTTGCTCTAATGTATGGAAACAAATTACTAGTAAACATAAAAACTTAGCCCCATTTTGACACTCAAGGTTCTCATCCAACATTGGGGGACACACCATTTTTTGGTTTGTGTGTGTGCACACATTCTAGTACTCGATCCTTATTCTTGCTGGAACATTGTGAGTAAGGTGCATATTTTGCTCCATGTCAGAACAAATTTTCCAGATGGGAGCGAAGGATGATAGCTGTGGTGCTTGTACCTTTAGGAACATGTTGGTAGAAAGCACGATGGTGTTATATATGGTCAGAGGTTTTTGTTTTTCAATCCATCTAGTCTCGAGATTTACACAGCTCTGCCATACAGCACAACCCTGTCTTGAAGCCCTATCCTATGACTGAACAGATAGAGAAATACGAATGAGCTTCTCTTTTTCCACCTTGCATAGATCATTTACCTTGTTAACACATAGGTACTGCATTCCACAACACCATTACTAGGAGGACAGATATAGGGGTTGATTTACTAAAGGCAACTAGTCTGTGCACTGCAAGAGTAATTGTTCTAGATCTGACGGGAAGCTCTACTGATTTCTATCATCCAATCTTGTGCATTTTTTATTTTCCTTGCATGTGATTGGGTATTCTTTGCAAAGTGAAGCTTTATCTCATTTACTAAGCTCTGGAGCACTTGCTTTGCACAGTATATTTGCCTTAAGCAATACTATTGGGTTGATTTACTAATGTCCCTGTTCAGTGATATGTTTCTGCTCTGGGACTACATGCCTCAGAAATCACTGAGGCAGTACCTTGCTGGGGAGAACGTCCAGGCGTTATGGTCTAAGGGTGAGCATGGGTAACTGAATGAAGATTACTTTAAGGTTTCAACAGAAACATTTACTAAGTTGCAAGTCGTATAGCTCAGAATCCCTATGGGAATAATGCAGACTTGCTGCCTTGCACTGTAAGGGGACACCTTGATTCCCAGGGGAAACCAAATGCAAGTTTTACTTAGGTTACAGACATATACAATTGCTATCCTTCCCGGTTTCAGTGGGTTTGGTATTCAACTATGCTAGTGTTTTCGCAGCCAAACTGGAGCTACTACTTGATTACTTGGTGACAGGTTCCCTTTAGACATTAGTCCGACTACTGAATGCGAAACATGTTACTGTGTACCGCTGCTTTTGCATATTACTAAGTAGTGCTGGAAACCACTTCATTATAGCTTTTTAGTTGTACAAGATTCCTTTTCACATTCTCCTCCCAGCAGCATTTAGTTCCACCGATTCTGACGTTTGTTCTCAATGCTAAACGCGCAGAACTATATGCATTGTAAGGCTGACGGTCATATTGTAGAAGGCAAACATTTACCAAAGCCTTTAATCCCTATTCTCACAGGCTAGGACTCCCATCTCTGCTGAGCAGAAATCCAGGAAAGCTGAGTGAGAAGCCATCCTACATGGCAATGACTTCAGCTGCTGAAAGAAAGAGAAAGCTATTAAGGTAAGATTGTACGCTTCGTGCCATAAGATCTCCTGTCTGGAATGAATTAGAGGCTGGCTCTCCGAATGACATTTCTATGAAAATCTTGCAGTATTATATAAATACCAGGTTATTGCAGTTGTATCCCTCAGTCTATTGTTTCTCTTCCTTCCCTATTTCTGCTTTTCTTAATTTAACATTGGGTTTTCTAGAGGGCAGGTTTTACAAATCTTTCCCTTATAGACAACCTTTACAGAATTTCTCTTCCAATACACTAAACAGGAAAGGTTCCAACACACTTCATTTTGCTAATCAAGCATGTTCCTTTTAATGAATAAAAAAATCATCCGCCTTATAGAGACAGGATTCCCATTTTCAGGTTCCACAGTTCAAACTGCCATCATCTTTTTCACTGAACTTCATATGAAACATTGCAGAACAAATGGTGTTATTGTTGCTTTGGGATGTGAATTTTAAGAGCTGGAGATGAGGGAATTGTTCACTCTGTCAATTGGCCAGGAGCCTTGTTTTGATTGCTTAAAAGTAGAAGTAGACTAACCTTTTGGTTTACTAAAGTGCTAGTGCTGCTCCCCCCCCCCCCCTTACTGGTTATATATTTATATATATATATATATATATATATATATATATATATTCATTCAAGTGAAACCAGGACTTTTAATTTTACAGATATAAAAAGGGATGCTAGCAAGGCGGTACTACACGCAATAGTACGTCGCATGTTGTCCTTTTCCAATAGGCAGCGCATGTGTCACAGGCCAATCCACAGACAGTTAATCAAGATGTCAGACAACAGTGTTAGTGCATGTATGGAACCATGGGCGGTGATGAAGTTTCTTGTGAATGAAGGTGTAAAACCTGCAGATATCTACAGAAGACTTGAAGCACAGTACGGTGATGAGACGCTTAGCCACAGTAAGACATTTGAATAATGTAAACTTTTCAAAGATGGCTGCACGTCTGTCAGTGACAATCCCAGCCATGGTGGTTCCCAGTGCACCATAGTCACTCCTGTGAGCATTCAGCGCGTGGAACACCTTATTCTGGCTAATCGACGCATAACCTGTTGTGAAATTGCACAAGAGATAATCTGTTTCTGTGGGGACAATGAACACAATCAATCACGAGCATTTGCATTTTCGAAAAGTTAGCGCATGCTGGGTACCTAGACAGCTTTCCACTTTTGACTGGCACAGAAGAGTTGAAGTCTGCACTGCATTGAAGGAGCATTTTGACAGAGAAGGCCAGGATTTTCAACACACAGGACAACGCACGAGCTCATATTGCTCATTGCATTACATGCTCATTACAGCAGCTAGGCTGGGAGGTATTGCCACTTCCCCCTTACAGCCTGGACCTCACTCAAAGTGATTTTCACTTGTTTGGACCCCTAAAAGAGTTCCTTGGAGGTCAGCATTCCAGCACTGATGACGAAGTGTAGCAGGCCGTCCTAGTATGGTTAAGGCATACTGACGAATCTTTCTATTCTGATGTTTTCCGGGCATTAGTTAAGCTGTGATAAATGTAGCAGGGGAGTATGTTGAAAATAAAAATGCAGTTTCCACTCCTTGAAATGTTCTTTTATTATATAAACTCAAAAGTCCCAGTTTGACTTGAATGGCATTCATATATATAATCTAATGCTGCTGATCTCCAGCGTTTTTCAATCATTTCCTCTCTACATGCCCACTGGCATCAGCTTTCTGATGGTGGACCATGCCTCCACTGCAACTGCATTAGCATGGCCCCTTGTAATGCATGTACCATGGTGACAATGCAAGAGCACAAAAGATAGTTGCCACTTCATAGCAGGAAGTGTCTGAATAAGGGCCTTTATGGTAGTTACTAGGTGGTATCTTAGCTGCTTCCCAACCGCCCTACAGCAGATATACTGATATATCTACCGTATCTATCTATATATCTATATATATATATATATATATATATATATATATATATATATATATATTATGTTTTTCTCAAAATTTTGTCTTTTTTTTTATAGCGCAAAAAGTAATAAAACACACAAAGATCAAATACCCCGGAAAGAAAGCTCAATTCATAGAGAAAAAGGACATAAATTTCATTTGGGTGCAGCATTGCATGACCGTGCAATTGTCAGTTAAAGTAATGCGGCGCCATAAGACAAAAAAAATGGCCTGGTCATGAAGGGTGGTAAATCCTCAGGAGGGCAAGTGGTTAATTAAATTTTAGGCCTCGTTCATGCCATACATGCAGAAAAACTGATGGAAACTGACATGCAGATTTCACTTGCACAGACATCCGTTTTCATGTATGCTACAATAAATTTTATACATGTTGTGGATTCCTGCGCAAAAAAACAAAATCTGCACATGATACTAGTGGTGTGAACGGGGGCACAAAGAGAACAATTGATTTTGTTGTGCCCTTGCAGAATGCGTACAGAAAAACTGATGTCTCTGTGCCTTGATGTGAATGAGCCCTTAGATTTTAAAAGATTGAAAGCAACTTTTGAAATGAGAATGACTTATTAGATTTTTTTTTTTTTAAAAGTTTAGATCAACTTTAAAACTGGCGGAGCTGGGCTCTAACATGTATTTGTAAGGGTAACTAACAACTTGGTTGTTCAGTTGCATAAATGACTTCATAAACACAAGATCTCCTATTTTGTTCAAGAAAACTAAATCTTTGTTTCTTTTATGATTTATAAGTCTTGCAGCAGGCAGTGCTGTAAAAGAGGACAGCGTACCACTTCCTATCCCTAAACGTGTGCGCCAGGACAATCCCTTTGACTGTAAAGCCCTGCGAGTGAAAAAGACAGCAGGTGAGCATGAAATGATCGATTATGACATTACTTGTTCACTTTTCACTGTGTGATGAAAGGCTGACATTTCCAGGTTATCAGCGTAATGGTTTGTTACTGTAATCAGTCATCTAAAATATTTTCCAAGTGTGATATGTCCTTTATGCTCTGAATTGGCAGGAATGTCAGTTTCAAAGGTGTGGGTGTCTGATTTTTTTTTTTTTTCTTTCTATTACGACTGCTATGGCATATATCTCGAACGGAGTTAGTTTACTTTTTAGTGCTATCTCATTGAACTTACCTTGTTGGCAATTTTACAAAAATACAAGGATGAAGCTTCCCTTTTATATTTGAATTTTGTGTGACTGGTCAGCATACTTCAGAATGAAAGAATTATCTCAGTCTGTGTTGCCTATAGCAATCAATCAGAGCTAAGTGTCCAAGATTGTTTCACGCAGCTTTTGTAGTAACCTACAGACGTTCTTTTTTGTCTCTCAGTCCAGTATGAGGCATTAAAGACAGGTGGTTGGTTGTGTACAGTAATCATTTGTAAGGAATTGATCCATACAAAACTGACATTAAAGTTCACCTTTTAACAAAAAATAATAAATGCACTTTTTTTTTTTTTTTTTTTTTTTCAGGTGAAAAAGTGCTTTTTTACTGTTTTTTTTTTGTTTGTGTAGCCTGTAAAGCATTGCACCAGTGATCAGCAGATGGCTGGTGTCATGCATGTCTCCCCCTGATCTGTCTGTATGTCTGCTTGCTCGTACATCCTGTACAGGCAAGCAGATACTTGCTGACAGGAAGCCTCAATGAACATTGCCGTGGTAGTTCATTGAAAACTACAAGCTGACAGCCTCAAAAGCTGTCAGAACTTGTAGTCTTCCCATACACTGAATACTGCGAATGAGGGGTGTGGCCGGGAGGAAGGAGCCCCGCACAGCCACGTGGTTTTTTTTTTTTTTTTTTTGTTTTTTTTATAATTGTGACAGCTAGCGGGAGAAAGATCCCCTGTTAGCTGTCACAACGGGGTTCGGGAGGGGGTGGGGTTGCAGGAATTGATCCAATCGTAACATGTTACACCATTGATATGGGTGTGACATGGTTAGAAAGGTGAATTTATCCTTTAAGATATTTGTCACTGGAACAGTTATCCCAACTGGAAGATTTCCACTGTGCTCCTTGTGGCAACTGTGAAATATTAGATTTCCCCTCACTTTTTATGGAATACTTTCCATAGACCCATAGATGGCAAAAAAAAAGGTCCGAACTATTTAAAAAAATCTAGATTTCACTTGTCATGGAGCTTCACTTGTATTGTAACTGTAGAAGTCTTACAATTGCAGAGAATGCATCAGGAAAAGTAAGTGTCCAGCCAGGCCTGTGTATGTTTTTGACTGGGGAAAGATTTGGAAACCCTGCCAGACTTTAATATCTGGGCTCCACTAGAGAGATTTGCCTTAACTTCTTGTCCAGTAAAAACCATTATCACTGGGGAAATAAGTGAGGGAAGCTCTTCAAACGTAACACACAGAACTAAAAAATGTCTTTCTAATAGAGTAGAGAAAGGTTCTTAGATCTCCTGTTTTTTTTTTTTTTTTTTTGTTCTTTGTGTCACTTTTGCGGACTTTCCCTCACTTACTGTCTGGTGAAAAAAAAAACGTTTGTCATTGGGACAACAAGTGAGGGGAAATCCTTGAATCGAGCCCCATATAAAAACCCTGACAGGGGTTCTAGTCCTCCACTCTATCTAAAACCTAACTGTATAGATTGAGCCTAAAACCTTTAAAATGAAAATGCCCAGAAGGTGGGATACTCCTGAAACATTTGTGGCAGGCTGGAGTTTCTTAGAACCCAAGTGCAGAAGTCTTGCCAATGACATCCATGAATGTTTGTTTTGGGTAGATGGATACATAAACTTTACTTTAGGTCAGTCTTGTTTCTGAATTACTTACAAGGCTGTGTTTGTTAATTGGAATCAAACACTTTTATTTATTTTTTGACAGCGTGGGGTAGAGTTAACATTTCAATACTTGTATTAAAAAGTATCCTGTTCTTTGTATTTCCTCCTTTTGTGTGAAATCCCTGGTGATATAGTCAGCCCCCCCTCTTTCCCATTGTAAATTAAGCATGCTAAGCATGACAGCACATCTATCTCAGCGTGGTCAGTTTTCTGCCTGTGCTGGGAGCAAAGCCTATCTGTCTTCCAATGGCCAAGACTTGTGCCGACACACCCCCCTGCACAACTCTTCCCTTGGAAGGTCAGTGTGTTCTTTTTACTTTGCCTCCTGCTGATACGCACCCCTGCAGTCTCCACCCCACCTCTTATGCAACTGAAAACAAAGGTTATGTGATCACTTATTTTTTAAAAAAAAGGAAAGAAAAAGCTATTCGAACATATTTTTTATGTATATGCACATGTTTTGCCTTGCCTATTTTAATCTGAATGGGTTGTTTTTCAAGGCAAGGGTTCACATCAATTTTAAACTGAAAATCAAAAATTATATATATACAATTCTTAGATGTGATGCCTGCAATAGTTTCTTTTTATTCATTCTTTCCTTTATTTCCACCAGGCAATTCTGCAGATGGAATAGTTAGAGATTTGAGACAAACAATTTACCACTGACAGGGTTGCTTGCAATGATCAACTTTTATTTATGTAAAACCTTTATCCCAAAAGAAAAAAAAAAAAACTGTATGCTGTAACTGCTTATGATATGTAAGTTGGAATTTGCCTTCTGTGTTAGTGCATCTAAGTCTGCTGGTTCATCTAACACTCCCCTCCCCCCCAGACTGACAAAACTACCTTCCAGAGATGCCCCCTCTATTAGGCACTCTAATACAGGAGGGGTGTTAATGGCTGGATCACCAGGAGAAAAGGGGGGGGGGGGCTTTAAGTTTTTTTATATCATATCAGTAGACTGGAGTGTAGTACTTTGTGGCACGATTTGCCCTTTGTACATATTTATGTTGTAGAAATTTATATTAGCAGGTTCATTTAGCACATAGCACTTTCTAGCCACTATTACACTTTGTATATTCGGTTCAATTTATGTAGATTAAGCATATAGTATAAGGTATCTCGTAGCTTTTAAGGTCTCAGAATAGGATATAGGTCATTTATGTAAGTGTGTGTGTATTAGAGGATTAAATATTTACATTTTTATTACATGCATGTTTACATATTGCGCTAGTTTCTCATTGAAACGCTGCAGGAAATTTTTTCTTCCCCAGAAGGCCGTTATGTTGAAGAGGGAGTTTCATGCAACATGCTTGCTAATGTTGAAAAGCTCATTGGCTCTGTTCACAAAAGTCTTGGCATTGCATTGTGCAACCTGACACTCCATCTTGCCATGCTTCTTTGGTTATATAGAAACCTGAAAAATCATGCAAAACATTCCCTGTTCATTAACAGATCTAATGTGCAGTCTATGATGATTGGGTCACTCCTGAAAGGATGTTCACTTTACTCTGTCCAGTAAAAAAAGCTTTTGAATAGAAGTGGGCTGTTCAGTAGTTGATCCTGCCATTCCTGTCCTAAGAAAAACGTTCACTGTACCTAAGGAAGATGCTCTCTCTTTCAAGGATTCTGTTGATAAAAAGTTCAAGATGCTCCTAAATGCTGTTTAATCTTGCAGGCCCAGCCCTGCAACCAGCTCTTGCTGCAATTTCAGCATTGGACTAAGCCCTAATTGTAAATCAATGTCTTTGGCAAATAACAAATCTATGCCGGATGAGGGTGCGTGTCTCTACACACCATCTGGCCAATTGATGACTCTAAAATATAACCTTTATTCAAATATATAAAATGTATGCTCAGCTGTAATTAATGCCTATTGGAGTGGAATGTACTGTGCACAACAATATGACTGGATACCATTGCAATTATTTACCTTACATCCAAATGGTTAATAACACCAGTCCAAATTAAATACGTAGGATATGCTATTACTGGTTTATTCTTTTTAGGTCATAGCTGTTAGACTGGTGGTTCCAGTCTCGTTTCATGAGGGTTCAAACTCTTCCCCCTCACCATTTTCTTTCAAATCAACCAAAGGCTGACCAAGGACTGTTAGATTCTCAAAGCCACCATGAACCACCTCTTGTCCCAGGGAATCGTGCCAGTACCTCTACAGAACAGGTTGAAAGGTTTCTACTCAAACTTGTTCACAGTGCAAAAGCTTAACAGGGACATTCACCCCAATTTTGACCTAAAATCCCTCAACAGATTCCTTCAAACTCCAAGATTCTATTTTTAATCTTCAGGGTCATTACCGTATTTTTCGCCGTATAAGACGTACTTTTTCTTCCCCAAAACTGGGGGGGAAATGTCAGTGCGTCTTATAAGGCGAATATGGAGCGGCCGGTCTGGTATTTCCACCGCGGCCGTGTCAGAATACCGGGCCGGCCGCTCAGCTCTGCAGCGGGACCTTACCTGTTCCTCTATCCAGCGGCGTGCTGTCTTCCCGGCTTCTGTAGTGTGGGCACTGGGCATGACAGCTGGGTGCCCAGTGCCCATGCGCGAGAAGCGGTGCGCTTTGTGAATGGTAAGGCGGTACCTGGGACACATGACAGATCCCAGAAGCCGCCGGACCAATCACAAAGCGCAAGTGCTTCTCGCTCATGCGCACTGGGCACCCGGCTGTCATGCCGAGCGCCATTACAGAAGCCGGGAAGACAGCGCGCGGCTGGATCGAGGAACAGGTAAGATCAAAGAACAACTCTGCGAAAGTAAGAGCGCGTACCTGTCAAATTCAGGTACCCGCTCCCCACTTCCCCAAAGGTCAGCTGTCATCTGTGCTGTCCACAGTCTCTGGTCATCCCTGTGCTGTCCACAGTCTCTGGTCATCCCTGTGCTGTCCGCAGTCTCTGGTCATCCCTGTGCTGTCCGCAGTCTCTGGTCATCCCTGTACTGTCCGCAGTCTCTGCAGTCCATTGTGTCTGCAGTCCATTAGTTCAGAATTTTTTTTTTTCCTGTTTTCTGCCTCTAAAACCTAGGTGCGACTTATGGTCAGGTGCGTCTTATACGGTGAAAAATACGGTAATTGCCTCTCTAAGACCAGGGGAATATTTGGCATCAGTGGGTATCCCACATGCCTATCTGCATGTTTCTCATTTACCCTCCTCTTTATTGCATTTGGCAGTGGTGGAAAAACACATTCAGTTGTCAGAAAATGTTCACAGGACAATTAAACTGCTCCAGGTATTCAGCGGGGTGATCAATTAAAAAAAAAAACAACTTTTGTCTGGAATACATGGGTCTAGTCCTGGACACATCCCAAGCAAAAGTCTTTCTTCCAGTAAAATATTTAAAAGTCCGACAGGTGGTCACTGGGTGCCATATCCCAATGAATATTACAAAAGGCAAAGACACATTCGTGGATTTCTAAGGTTATAGGGGAAGATATCCTCAAAAGCTTGCCTGTATCCAATCACCAGAAGGCACACACCTATAACCCATAGTGTATGACTATATTGCAGTGTGCATTACTGTACTCCCAAGATATGGAATTCACAGGCAAGTCAAAATTCTTGGCAGAGGGCATAAACCATAAAAATGGCAAAAGTAGCCATCACACCAAATATTGAAGACATCAAGTTTTTCACTGTGACAACATAGATTGTACAATAGAAATCCTAAAAACACTGATGTTTTTTGACAAAGGAAGTGTTTTTTATGTTTTCTTTTGTACAAGCTTGTTTGTCAATACATCTAAAGATCTCCTTTTAAGACTTAAGGTTTTTAACGATTGGTGCCTTGGCTATTTTCCCTATTTTGGGTTTGCTGTATCTCCATTGGCCATTCACCCCCCTCTAGATATTAAAGTTGAAAGTGTGGGATGGATTTTAGTTTAAAGGCTATAACCATTCAGCTTTTTTTTCTATTGCAAATAAGAAAAACATTTTGATGGAGTCAGGCTTTTAAATCTTACTGTTCAGATTTTATAGGTTATAAAACATTTGTTTGTGAAGTGTCCACAAGTTAAAATTTAAACCCACATGTGGCACGTAATGTACAACGTCACATCCTCATTGGGATTTATTAATTTCAGAACTATGCTAAAACATTTCTTTTTTCTTTTTCCGCTACAGTAGCAAAAAATAAGGACAGTGGTGCACCGAGGCGTCTAACCAGGAGCATTTCAGATGGAAGCTTAGCAGCTGGAGCTAAAAAGAGACCTTTCTCATTTCTTGGTTCATCTCGACCGTTTTCACAAGCTGGAAAGAAGTAGTACTACCAATCTGGACTAAATTAGACTCTTGGACTGTAATGCAACCTTACCCCATTGTATTACTAATATAATATTTTTAATTTGCTGCATAAGATGTCTTGTTCAGTATGAACAAATCTTGGCAATTTTCTTTTAATGTTATAGATTTTTATGTCATTTGTACCGTCCAGTGCTGTTGTATGTACAGAGAACGCTGACAAAGTTCTGTGTTTTAATGTGTGAGTGTAAGGAATGCTTGTATATATCTGTATGGAATCTCCTGGTGTTTTTTTCATTGTGAAAGGATTGTTGTCAACTGTTGTTCCACTGATGTGGAATTATGAATTCCTAAAGGCGGTGCGTTGTAGTCTTACTGATTCTGTAGCTATGTGCGCAGAGGAAAAGTTGTGGTATTTTATCAAAGTTTGTGGTGAAAGAAGGCACTACCAGAACTTTATTCTTTTTCAGTACAAAAATACTTTTACAGGTTTATGTAGGTGCCTAAGATTTCAGTGCCAGAACTGTAGTTTATGTCCCTGCCTCTTCATATAAAGCCATAATGAAGGTGTCACAGGCACATTTTGGTGTCTGATTCTGAAGTGAGTGACTGCCTGCTCAGGGTTACTTGAATCTAAAACATACATGCAATAAGAAAACTGCTCTTATACTTGCCTTTCTAGCTGTCTGTCCCCTAAAATCCATCACTTCACAACCTACCATTCTTTGTAAGTTTTCACATTTCTTCGTGTGTCAGTAACTTGCTCCCTGTGACTTCTTCCACTGGCTCCTATGTCACATATGAGCTGTGTGTGTGTGTGTGTGTGTGTGTATAATATATATATATATATATATATATATATATATATTATATATATATATATATATATATATATATATATATATATATATATATCTCTCTATCTCCATCCAACAAGTCAAATACTTGCACAGGATGGTAGACAGTGAAGTGCCTTTTCAAGCCACAATTTAAGTTTTTGCAGTGCCCCTTTACAGATAGGATCAAGACATATTAAACTATTCAGTATCTCTGCAAACTTGCACCTGTCCTCATGTTTTGTTTTCTTAAAAAGCGCTGCAAGTACAGAGCGATATATGGGGATATCCCTAAAATCAACTGGGGGCAAAGCAGCAGGTTTGCTTTAATTCCCATCAACATATACTTATTTTTTTAATTGCTCCCCCACCACTCTGTTCAGCTTCGGGAGCTGAAGGAAGTCCTGGGTATAGGGAAGCTTGGGACAGTCTTCTGTGTAGGCTGATTCACTGATCTGAAGTTTACACAGAACTTTCCTTTTTGCTCCCAGCAGCTGAACACAGTGGTGTAGTTGTGAGAGGAAGGGAAATATATGCTGCTGGAGAAGCCTGTATTAAAGTGAAGCTGTGTGGAAAAAGCACTGGCTCATTTTAATAGACTTTCCTTCCTCTATTCAGACTCTTGGAAGACTGAGGCATCTTCAGCTCGATATATGCTAAAGTGAGCCTGTGAGGACACTACAGGAGCTGCCATTGTTTGCCTGTTTACACAGGAACAGGCTTTGAGATTGCCATCCCCAACCTGGCTTCACTACCTGCTATTTGAAAGAAGTATGCAGCTGGAGTTTACCTTTTAAGGCGGCCGTAGATGGTTCAAATCATCGCCAGTTCAGCAGGGATTTGCTGAGATTCGATCCATGTATGGGCAGGCTGATTGTACCTAAGTCGATACATCAATCAACTTGGGTACAACAAGCATGTTGGATTTCTAGCATGTAATTGTTACAATTGACTATAGCCGGTAGCAATAATCACTGTGTTCTCCCAGCAGGAACAGTACCCTGCAACTTTAGACTTTACTGACTGCATGCTTGTTTTGGGTCAGTGACTCGCTAGTTAACACACAATCTGTTGCATTAGAGCTTACGGTTTGGTTCTCATGTTTCTATCCTGATATTTCCATTTTGCTAAATTACATCAGGATTAACAGCATACAGGGGATCCCTAACAATAGATTGGGGAGCTGCCTTTGTTGACTTGAGCTGGCCATATATGGATCGAACTTTGGCTGGGACAGCAGAGACCAGTCGAATTTCGATCCATGTATGGACAGGTTGGTTATACAGAAGTCAATCTACTTATCAGCTTCTGTACAGCCACCCTGTCGGGTTTTTTCTGATCGATCAGTGCTGCCGGCTAGAACTGGCAGCACTGATCAGTGTATTCTGACAGCAGGAAAGTCTCCCCGCTGTTATATTACAATAGCTCAATGGGAAGGAGTCCCCCATCTACAGCAAGTGTGGGGATGAGGGAATCGGGCCATTTTTTTTTTTTTTTTTCCCATCTGCTGACTGAATGAAAAAAAAAAAAAAACAAAACTATTGTTTGGGCTGCCCTGTTTGAAAGGAGCAGCCTCTTGAGCTGTATTCTTATTCAACTTTGCTACCGCTGACCTGAAACAAGCATACATCTGACGGCACTATATAAATACCTGAAATAAATAATAAATCTGTGCAAGTCTGAAAAACCTAAATATCCAACCTGCTTGTTCTAGGGCCATGTTGCAAAGATCAGAAGACCCAAAGATTTCCATTTAATAGGGAAACATAATGTATTTTTGAAGGCACACATTTTGATTTATTGTTTGTCTTTAAAAGAATGTTTGTATGCCTCTATATTTAATGCTGCAACAAAGCATGGAAAGGCCTGCTAGTAAAAATGTAGAGTATTGGCATTAGAGACATCTCTCAGTGGCTCAGTGCAGTTACTGTATCTCTCTTTTAACAACTGCTGAGATATCAGCCACACAGGGTGTGTATTGTTTTCAATCAGTGCACTTAACTCAGGCTTACATTGAAGGGAGTAGAAGTAAAGCACAGCCACTGCCAAGGGAATAGGGCTGTCCTCAGGTGTATATATATAATTACAAATTATACATGGAAAGAAGAATTTTAAACCGTTAAGTTGCATGGATGAAATTGTTTACATAGAGCTGATAACTTTTACATGACTATATAAAAAATGTAAAAGGCTGTACATTCCTTTTAAGGAGGCAGTGCTCTTGCCCTAGTGCAAGTAAGCACAGGATACCAGCACATTTTGGCAGAAGCGTTTGTTTTCCCTACCTCGGGTACTAACAAATCATAGCCGTCTCTTCTCATTCTGTCCACTGCCTTATTCCTCTAGGTTGCCTTTGCTACTGATCAGCCACTGGGCAGCTACTGATGATACAATATGTGCAGAAGCTACATAGTCCTGGCTTTTTTCTCTGCATCTTAGGCCTGTTTCACATGCTTTGCATTCAGCTTGTATAAGAGCAGTGTGAACAGCAAGGTTTGACAAAGCATTTGCAGAGCTTTCAGCAAACTTGAAGCTTTTAAAGCACCATTCAGCCCCAGTTTGTAAATGTTGAACACAGATCCTAATGGGAGTGTTGATTGCCACTTCTGCTAGCAGCCTTCAGAACTTCTTGAAGCTTGAAAGCCTGCTAGCAGCTTGCCTAAAGTAGCAATCAACACTCCTGTTAGGATCTGTGCTCAACTTTTACAAACTAGCGCTGAATGGTACTTTAAAAGTTTCAACAAAGCTTGCTGAAAGATCTGCAAATGCTTTGTCAAAGCTTGCTGTTCACACTGCTCTTATACAAGCTGATGCGCATGTGAAACAGGCCTACAGATACAGGGTAAAAAGTTGAGTGGGTGCACTGAGCATGTAGCCCTTTCTGCTTAAAAAATAAATAAATTAAAAAAAACTCTCCACAATCTCTAAGGGGTGCTTCATTCTTCTGCTTTGATTTTTCATTGATTTATTATGGGGAGAGCACAGCAGGAATGGGAAATACCCCAGGGTGTATGAGAAGATCTCATCTCTGGTGTCAACAAGATGCATACCAAGCCTTGGTTGAAACAGATCCCAGATTTAATATATCATTAAAACAGCAAAGCAAAAAAAAAAAAAAAAAGGTATACACTGATAGTGTCCTCATCACCACAGCTAAATGAGGATCCTCAAATACTGCCTGTTTTAGTAATTTTTCCAGTCACCTTTTCCATAGAGTTTATTTTAGTGAAATGCATTTGGTTTCCCATCCAGTGAAAGTGCATCATGCTCAGTTAGACGTAGACTGCTCATGCAAACGCTTTTATTGGCAGGCAGGATTTCCCCACACATTGTGGTAATGCAAAAAGCATTAGCGTTATAACTGGAGATCCCAGCACCAATTTAAAAAAAAAAAAAAAAAACATTCAAAGAGGTTCCTGTAAGCCATGGTTTTTACTAATGGTTTCTGTGAATGATCATTATGAACGATATTTTATTTTTATGCTGTAAATATTGGTTTCCTGTGTTATTAATATTTTTCCGTGTGTTCCAAGCCGTGTCCTGTAAATAGACTGTTAATAGCTTGAAATATGTTTTAAACCACATTATTTTTTTATTGTGTTGATTAAAGTATTGTTTTCTTTTAATTTCTTTGATTTTTCAGTTTGGGGGGGAAGGGGGGGTAGTGTGATCTCAGAGACTCAAATGTGATGTTGTGTCTTTTATTGTGACAGGTAACAGCACAACCCAAAGGCCCACTTAGGCCTTTGTGTTTTAGTAACTCACAGTAAAATGTGTGTTTTACCTTGCATTACTATACATTCAACACTTCCTGTGCTGCCATTTATTTAAAATGGCAATGTGCAAATACAGTAGGTACCAATGGATGTGCACTGGTTAAAGGGGAATTCCTAGGAAAACAAAAGTTAAATCGGCAGTGAAAGGAATGTCTGTTCTCTAGTTGTAGAGGAATAAGCAGATTTACTGTCTTTATACCTTGCTCCTGCAGGCTTCCATTCTACCATACAAGCAGTCCTCAAAAGTAATTTTTTGGGCCACTCAATCTGTTGCTCCTCTTCATCATTATGTACATTGCAGGAGAAGCAGTTCTGCTTCATATGTGAGTATGTTGAGCACCCTGCCAACATCCTGGAGTGTCAGCACTTGCTACCAGGGAAGCAAGAAATATAGTA